AATTTATGGCTACAAGGCTGCCGACGATTAATGTAATATCCCAAGTCTACAATGCAACCTTCACTTAATTAGTGCCTGTAATTGGGAGTTGTAAAGATAAGATTAATTGAATCTTGAGGATGTTAAAAGTTTAATACATTGGAACACGGTTATTGCGTTATCTGAAACTGCAGACCGCACCAAGCCACGCCGAGCTTCAGAGAACGGTCCACGGAGAGACAAAGAAAAAGGACTTGCTTGGCTAGAAACCAGCAAGAGAGGAGGAATTTCCAGCTTGTAAAAAAGAATTATATGTAATAATATACAAATCAGAACACTCTACCACAGAGCAGCCTCTCGGTAATCGCTGACTCCAATTTTAGAAATCAACTTTTTTCTCTGGGCCAGTCCTTTAGGAGGCAGACCTCACGCTTTGGAGGTACTCAATCCTTAGGAGTTCACCAAATCAACTGCAGAAGAGAATTCAAAGTAGGTCAAATTCTGCTTTAAGTTACATTCCCAGATCTGACTGATTTACATAAAGATAGGCAATAAAGGAAGAATTTGGGCTGTTATTTAAAACCAGTAAGAAACAGAAGGCTTCTGCACGTCCGGCACAGATTGAGGCAGCCAGCTCCATCTCGACATCGAATGATTGATTACGGGGGAGAACAACAATGGGGGCGACATGGAAAGATTAGAAATTGCTGCAATCAGAGGAGGACTGTTATTGAGCGTATAAACATCCACGAAGGGCTGGCTTTTGTGTACGACCTCGTGGTACCATCCTCCTGTTTCACTATGAGAAACGGCCAGGCACTCGTTGGGGACAGAAATCCTTGACAGAGGGAACTGACAAAATGCTGTCATTCGGTACGATTTGTGACCGTCCCTCCTGCAGCCACAGGCTGGGGTTCAGATCAACAGCGAAACATCTTTAATTCCAGAGACAACTGACAAGATTATGCATGGTAAAGCATATCCAATAATTTCCTTTTCTAGATGCATGACTTTGAATACTTTAAGATTTTTTTTTTCCCCACCACAATGTATGGTTCTTTTCCTATAGTATCCCAGCCAAAATACTGAATGTCGTAGGTTTCCTCTAGAAAAATACCCAAAAAACCCCAATCAAAATCTTTAAAAAAAAAAAAAAAGGGAAAAAATCAAAACACATGTAGAACGACTTCTTCCCTTCTCTGTCCCGTTCGGATCGTAGCACAAATGCATTCCACAAAGACAAGGAAAGCAGAAAAAAAGCTTCAGAACAAGCAAAAGGCGACTTTTCTATCAATTGGCCAAAACAGACTATGGTATCCATGAGAGATGTTGAGCTGGGCTGTGATGAGACTATCAGCCCGAGACCTGCCCGACGCTTCACCCCTGTTGACAGCAGCAGTTTCGTGACATCCCTCTGCCTGGGGAAAACTGAACGAGGAGGAGAGCAGGACTGACCTGGATCCAGCCCTGATCAGACACTTCCTTTTAACCACATCAAAGATGGAGCAAGGATTTTCCATTGCCCCAAAAACCTCAAGGAAAGGGAAGTGGTGGAGGCAGCATAAATATTTTAACAGCTTTCCTTAAGAATCGTCTTTTCAGAGACTACTGGTGCTGCAGAGAGAACATCTGCAACAGCCAAGAGGAAACACAACAGCGCCAAAAACGCTGACCTTGAGCCACTGCTTCAAGTGCAGAATCTGTCCCTTCTGGTTCAGCCCGGTTCCCCAATAAAAGCCAAGTCCACATAAATCGTGCTAAACCAGCAACTGTTTTAAGAGACATCAAACTTCCGAGAACTGGGCTTGCAAACAAACCAAGAGACTGATGCCTTTCGTATGTACTTCCACGGGTCAGCCTTGCAGCGCTTGACCAAGACAAAGGGCCAAACTTAACCTGAAAACCTGACACTCAGCAATTTGTCGGATTACAGCATGAATAATATCTTGCTGCTTTGCCAGGGAACATGAGAACTACAGACCAGAGGAAAAGAAAAATCTCAAGATTAAAAAAAAGAGTTATAGCTCTATGACTCAAATGTCATCTTACCCCGAAGTCAACCATCTGAAAGCAATATACCGATCCTTTTAAATTACCTTCTTCTGCTCTTTCTACCAAAACAAAAGGTCCCTGAAATGGATTAAGCATCACTTGTACAAGTACAGAACTTACTGTTCTACCTGAAAGACTTTCAGCTTCCAAGCTTGTTTCACGAAGCCTAATTCCAGCATTTCTGATCTCTACTTCTGTGTAGAGCTTTCTGAGTTCGAGTATCCTCCAAACTGCTTCTGAGGGTAACGAGCAGACATCAGGGTCACCAGTCCAGGAGGTATTTGCTCTAAAGCTACCAATGTGTTAGATAATAGTTTCCCTACAGTGGCAGTTCATTTTTGTTAACGTACGTTTAACTGGACAGTCCCCTTTTTATCCTTAACACAAAAGAAAGATCCTTCCTATTTGCTATAAAGGATGTCATTAATAGTGTAATTTTCTTGGTGTTTTGTTTATTCCCCTGGAATGGCTTGATGGATGTGGATAATTATCAGACTATAAAAGCCAGCAAATGTGCTATTTTCTATTGCTCTAAATCATCAAACAAATAAAGTGTGAAACAGCATTTTTGAATACAATTTTCCCCTCTAATGGCTTAGAATTATTATCAGGAACAATGAAAATAAATAAGCAAATGCCTTGTGAGTTAAGAATTAAATGAGTGTGTCAGTAACACAGAGCAGACAGACCATCCTGGGATACCAGCACCAGTTTAGAAACCATTAAGAGATGATGTAACGGGGAGCTCAGCTTCCAGCAGCAGGTGCTCTGCAGGGACTTTCCAGTCTAGCTCAGATTCTGCCCTCACCACTGCTTCTTCAAGAGGAGTGCAATTCCATTTTGTCTTCTTCTTGGCCACTGAAAGCTATTAGAAACTTTATCCACAACCCTCCGCTGCTTTCTCTCCATTTAAGACCTGTTCCCTATCGCTAGCTTTGGCAGAGGACCAGACAATCCTGGCCTTCAGTTCAACCTCCCCCCAAAGCTTCCAAGACCTTTTCTTGCCACAGTTGTCACAAACACACAAGTTTTTGATAGTTATAGCACCTCAGCCCCCTACCTCACGACGTGTCAGCCTCTGTTTGCACCAACACGGAGCAATCAAGCAGCGATGAGATTGCGCAATCTCATGCACCCACTCTCCAGTAG